ACTTTACCATGTAATCTGTTCTTGAACAGACGTCACCAGGGACAACAGTATGCTTTTCACATATCGCGAAGTCGTAAGGGTTTGTCTGAATGATGGAGCAGTTGTGAATCGTTGCCGCTTGAACAAGAGAAGAACATGATTTTTTCACATTTTCGCAGGCTTGCCTGGTCCGGGTTACGTTGTATTCCAATACGAAACCGTAAGGTGACTGCTTGTTCGGCGTGCACTGCATTAGCGAGTTAGAGCATGAATATTCGCGAAGATCCTCAAGGCAATCCCGGGTACCTTTAAAAACGGCCACACGGTTTAACTCGACTTGCACATTCTGAAGAGTTACCAAAGCCAAGGCTGTCGGCATTGCGTCAGCCCCAGGAACTTGGTGGGAAAATGAAGGGCAGACAGTGTTATTCGGTATATCATAGCAGCTCGTCGGTGCACTGGTGTCCAAAACCAGATACCCTTGGGGAGCTTGTTTATTGGCATTATTTGCGCCCATACTCGCCGCGCTAACGGCAGAGCAGAGGGACAAAGAAACGAGGAACCATTTCAGCACCATAGACATCGCTGAGTTTCAATGCTGACACTGCACTGACGAGGTTACAGACCTACAGAGAGTCAGATCAGTCGCGAAGGAAGGACAGATTGATTTATGGTCTAATGCGCTGCCGAATATAAATACGTGTTATCTTGAGCGCGTCATTCAACATTGAGGGCAACCGGATAAAAGATGACAGAATCCCTAAAACAACGCAGAGACGTTTTGGTAAAAAGAGTATATATTGTTTCGTAAATACATGTAAATTAAGGGCGAATTTAATCTGCTTATATTCTATCATCGCGCACCGGGAATCGCTAAGTGTTCTTCTTTACCTTGGCTGGTATCGGCTGGTCAACAAGACTATTCCCACAAGTGTTTAAATCCATTTTCAAGTTGTTAACATCAGAATAGATTGTAGCCTGTTGTATTGTCTGTCTCATTTCAAAGCATTGGAATATTAGTAGGCCTAACAGTTCTATATCAGGACAATTAAGACCTTTCCAGATCAAAATTAAAAACCCATTTTTCAACCCATAGCCTGGCATGGAATTATTTAAAAATTTCCGATACAAAGGTCGGACAAAATGGACAGGGTGCCGTGCCGTTTAGCCGTGCCGTGGGTTTAGCCTAAACGTGGCTTCTATTACCTTTGCATTTCTGACGTGTTGTGACAAATTCGAAAACAATAGGTCCAGTTTAAAAAGCCAAGTAAATATAAACTACAAGTGTGGTTACACGTAACGCGTACACAATAAACCGAACATTGCTTCAGGACAATATATATTTACATTTGGCATTGCGCATATCTGGCACTGAACACCAGTAGCACTATTCTCTTCCAACAATATATCTCTCAGTCAACAAGACTGATTTTGTTAAACACTGAAGTGTTTGATACAATGTTGTTTACTGAGTGAGTCTTTTTAATTTAATAAAAATGGGAAATATCCGAATAGCTCGCTCGCGACGAGTGACTTGATCGCAAATGGACGGTTAAATTACCTATATATATTTATTATATATATACCGGGTGTTTGGTGAATTGTTGACGGAAATTTCATTTAAGCGTATTAATTGTTATTCTAACCCAATTTACAGTTCTGAGGCCAGTTGTATAAATGACCAGTTAACTTTCAACTGCAGTTGAGGACAGAATTGGCCAATCAGAGTAGTGTATTTCTGACTTAGCTAGGATTTAACTATGCAAAATGTAGTTAAGACTTTTATACAACCGGTCCCTGTTTCATAGGAACATAATTTTCACTGGAACTTTTAGTTTCCTTTCCCTTTTTTTATACATGCGATGAAAAGTTGGTAAAAGATCAGCTTGTTATTACTCGAGCAGTCGAGCTAAAGCGAGAGCCTAAAATCAGTTTTTTTTCGCGCAAGACTTATTCTCTCACGCGGCCAATCTTGATTTTGGCCAATCGAAGTAAATCGTGGTCGCATGTGACATATTTGTGAACATCTTATTGGCGTTCAGCGGCTCACTCAACTTCCTGTTTCTTCGTGCAAACTTCAGCAGCGGATTCGACTTTTAGCTTCATTGTGCATACAACACGTTACGCTAACAAAATTACAAAAAGTGTAATAATATTGCGTTTTAATATGCGCACGCAGGTATTTGTGATACGCACCCACATTTTTTTGTGTTTGTACGCTTTCAAAGCGTACTCGATCGAAGCTAAACGACACTGCACGTATATTCTGTGTGCTCGATCAAAACTAAACGACTGAAAGAATATTCTAGGAATTTGATCGTAGATAAACGACTGCGCGCATATTCTGCGCGATCAAAATTAAACGGTCTGTACACAAATTCTGTGTCTCGATCAAAACTAAATGACTGCGCGCATCTGCTTTTACTTATAGACTTTCTCCGGGTAAAAGCATGCACAAGCAAAAGCACTGCTTTAGCTCGAGTAAACGCTTAGCGAGCGTCTTGTTTGCAAATTAAACCATTTGGTCAAACAGCTTTTTTAAGATAATGCGTTTGCAAAAAAATTGATTGATATTTTGCAGCTAATTTTTCAAAAAATTCAGTGTAGTTTACAATCCAAATTTCTGATGGCATAATCCGTAATCTAAAATATATTTTGTTCTAAGTAGTAACTCGCTCGCATAAGAGATAAAAAATCGCGCGCACATTGTATATTAATTTCTCGTTGAAGATCCATTAATTTTCACATGCACAAAGGGGATTGCGAATACCGCGCTATTTCATAAATTTTAATTATGTATGCTCATGCAGCGAACTTCTCTCAATGCATGTCGAATAACATGCGTTTCACAGTCGGATTATACTTTTTTGAGAACCACTGAATGTGTAATCCGACAAAATCCATGATCAATTTCCAAATTTAGGGTAATCTAAACGGCTTGTGATTTGATGTTAAGAAAGCATTCCGCGGAACCTTTTGCGGTCGCGCTGAAGAAAAAGCGATCATCTTATATGGTAGATTTGTCATAGATGCGACGTAAAAAAATTCCACCACGATTTAGTCACATAAAAAAGTTGAGGACCTCACATTTCTAGATCAACATTAATTCGACCAGAGAATTCCGCTCCCAGTTATCGACGTCAGTGAGAATTAAGACCTCGCTATCCTCTTGACACTCAAGATTCAAGAAAATCTATATCTGATTAGCGATGTGGTATCATGGAAAATTATATGGGGCCTTTTAGGAAATAATTTGGTCTAATTTACCACGAGCTGATAATCTTATCAACTTTAAGACAAAGATTTTTCTGCGCTTTGTCGAAGACTAAGAAAGGAGGAAGGATATTGCCGTTGAGGCGTTGACTAGTTACCTAATTATATTTACATGGATGGCTGTTCCCGAAGTATGCATGGCATATAACGCTAAGTCTCCCCAGGGAGCGCTATAGCGCGGGCTACAGGCGTTAATTGGCAGCTACATGGTGAACCCCTTGCTATCTCCATCGGGGTAGTCTCACCAAGCACGACTCGCTCTCATCTATGGATGCGCGACGATGTATCGAATCCTCTGAATCAAGGGCTTGATTTTATTAGTGAAATACTTAGACACAAGCAATTAAAATCGAGTGGAAATATCGTAAAAGAATAGTTACCGCATGATTCGTGTCACTCAGTGAGTCTGAGATTTTGGAATAATGGCGACATAGATTGCACAATTCCATATCCGAACTAATCTGGCAATTTCATCGACCATCCCTCTTCAAAACCGAGCATTTTTTCCTTGAATTGTTGATAATTTAATTATTCTGTTTATATTCGGTCTTTTCCCCTTGTATACCCTTCCATTTTTTGCTGCGAGATCTCAGATCGGGTTAATTTCGTCTCAGTTTGATGCATGCACCTTTTATGTTGATTATAATCCCAAAACAACATTCTTAAACACACTTTCGAAACCTATATCCACGACCACGGCATACATCCTACCAACCGCAACATCAGGCGAAGCCACATCGATAAATCGCACGAAATGTACTTTAAAACGCCCGAGTACTATATAAGGCATCGATCCGAAGTGTCTACCGTTTATGCATGTATGCTATTTTAAAAAGCCTCTTATAGACGAACAGGTTTTCTATGACAAGTTTTTATATGACAAGTTTTAATACGCAATTGCACTTGTGTATGCACAACAAATTTTCTATGACAAGTTTTTTATGAACAAGTGTACTTGTCATAGAAAAAATTGTCAAAGTTGGGCGTACAGACGAGCCTCTTACAGACGAGCAAGTTTATTATGACAAGTTTTTATGTGACAAGTTTTAATTGTTCGTCTGTACGCCCAACTTTGACAATTTTTTCTATGACATGCAAGTACAGTTGTTCAAAATGAAGTACATGCACTTGATTTTGAACCAGCGTTGTATCCCTGACTGATTTGGCAATAAAAAATATGCTCAGGTCAAGTTTACAGGGATCGGAGTTTATGAAATACTAACTCGGAATCATATAGAGATAGAAACAAGAAAAGGACTAAATTACGTTATTATTACATTGCAATCCTTACGTTATTATTACACTACAATCATTACATGATTCAGAAATGAAATTTTACTGAATGGCGCCTGTTAGCGGGCTAACGTTTTCCGCTGTACGATTACATCGCGAACTGGAAACTAAATTGTCAAAGTAAACTTGCTGTCACGTTCACGCGAGCAAATAAAACTTGTGAAAGAAAAAAAATGTCATAGAAAATTTGTTGTATATACACACTTCAATTGCCAATTAAAACTTGTCATATAAAAAATTGTCATTTAAAACTTGCTCGTCTGTATAAGGAGCTTAAGAGGCTTAAGTTTTGTAGTTAATGGAAAAAAATAGGATAAAACACCAAAGCTTTCAATTTATTTAATATTGTAATGTCGTTCATAATCATACTGTTAATTAGATCGGTTTATCATTGTATAGAAATTGGTTTTTCACACTACAGTGAATTATTGCCGGCGGTATTATAACCAGGCAATGGAACCATTTTAGCTGTACCATCAGGGAATATCTTGCACGTTTCCAAGAAATAGGTCCGAATATTGGCCAGTAAGATTGGAATGCTAAAAGAAAAAAGGGCCCGGCGTATGATATTATTGTCTTTCGAGACGCAAAGAGTCTAGTTGTTTGGTAAACTTCGAAGCGTCTAGATAAAGAGTGTTGAGAGGCTTTCGATCACCTTTTTAAATTACTTCCAACGTTTATTGTCAGTTTAACAGGATTGATACTATCACAGGCTTCACTTTTTCTGGATTAGGTTATTTTTCTGACAAACAGATTAAGCCAGCGCCAATAATCAAGTAGCTTACATCATCGCTTCTTATATTCAGCTTATAGTACTCACATTTCTGTTAATGCGTGTGTTTTTTTGCAATATGGTTTATTCGTACACCAGATATTTGGGATTTCTATCAATAATGATGAGGGACGCCGGAGAAGGAGGCGAGAGGGCATTCTCCCCCCTTTTCGCTTTGATTTTAACCCCATAACAACGTGCGCTTTCTTGCGCTATATATGATTTCTCTACGCCTGAATGATACCAGACGTTTTCGTTTAAAGGCAAAAAAAGGGTTATCGTGTACAAAATTTACCCATAAGTACCACCCGTGGTACCACCCAGGAGTCCTTTTTATTCAGCAGGTTATATAATGGCGTACGGTAATGCATGCACATATACATACCAGTTCTTCATCGTAGTCTCGCACTTCTGTCGAGTTGTGGTAAACATTCGTAGCATCATGTTTTTGGAACAGATGGGACCACGTATCAGTTCACATTGTATGTCAACGAAATTTTTCTTGCATTTAGAAGATGTTCCAAAGGTTATAGAGGCAAGTCTGGTGAACGTTTTGCTAAAACTGCTCGTACGGACTTGATAGAAGTTAGCGCTTACCTTTGGGTGCTAAAAAAATTGCTGTACTTAATAAGACCCTGGGTACGAGGTTGAATATTTTTAGGCAGCGCGTGGGAATTCATTGCCAGAATTCTTGGATTTATTTCAAAATTTCTGCTCATGACACATTTTCTTTCTGACACATTTCTGCTCATTATGGCTATTGTTGTTTTTTTATATGGTGCGCCTGCATGCACGTGTTACAATATCTGAAATAAAGCTGTATTCTCACAACGAAAAAATTTCCTCGGAATGGAACAGAAAGTTTTCGGAGGAAAATTTTCCGAATAAAATTTTAAAATATTCTACAACCTGCGCCTAATGCAATCTGCGAAAAAGCTCCATTCCGAGGAAATTTTTTCAATGTGTGAATTCATTCACTGCATTTCGAAACGTGAAACAGGCACACATCTTGATCACAAGTCGACAGGGCCGAAAGAAGCGCCATAATTGGGGGCGGATATTCAAATATTTTATTTTTACCCATCGAATTTCTTTCAAAAACGCGTATATGCTGGGTGCCAAAAGTATTACTACGCATAGTGAAAACTGAACTTACTTTCATGGCAAAGTAATGTGCTATGTTACTTGAAATATGATCCTTTAATGAACATATACTATACAGTGTGTCCCATTGAAAGCGGACCCAAATGAATGAATTATGTATTTGCTGAAATTATATTCACACTAATGTCGTTATTTTTTTGAGTAGTTTAAAACTTACTTTCAAAAAATAACGATGCCAGTATGAATATAATCTTAGCGAATATATGATCAATTAATCCGGTTCTGCTTTAACTAGGACACCCAGTACATTTACATTGAGGAAAACCTCAGCTCTAATGAATATGATACCGGCATGCAGTTTGGAGGTTAATTTTAATTTTCAAGATAATTTTTCCCCTACTTAGGAACTAACATATGGTCTCTTTTAAACAATTTATGACTTATCAGTAGATCACAGCTATGAATACCGAATGTTTTGCTCATGAGCTTGATTGTGAACACATTTGAAGAGAAAGCGATCGTAACTGGAAACGAATCGCGCGACATTTTGCACTGAAATGAATGGAAAGGCACCCTATGAGTTTAGTGCATAAGAAGAGAGGGTCAACTCCGCTTCCTGCTCACCCTCCTACTCATTTCCTGTTAGACGTTCATTGTACCAGTCAGTACCATTTTGTAATAAAAGATTAGATTGGTTAGTTGGAATCTGCATGTCACTAGCCTAAATAGTGTTTCCATTTCGATATGGGAACGAACTAAGAAAAGAGACTGGGAAATTCAGAAAAAACAGTTATCCAAAAAAGATTGTATCAACGGGTATCTCATAGGAACACGAATTCTGTTTTTGTAAATATTTCTCTTTCGCAAAATTTGTGAAAAATTTTTTAAATACCTTTGGCACCTAATATACGTACAAGGGAAATCCGTTGGATCCGATAGATCGAACGAAAATATATGAATATGCAACCCTCGCCGACTTATTGCATCTAGTTCCACAATCCACCCTGTAAGTAGAAGACTTTTTCCGAAATTAATTTTGTAAATATTTTCTCTCGATTCCGAAGAATACTCGATCCCTACCTTATAGTTTGACTTTGGGCATATGTCACCTGGAATATTAGGAGTCTCGACGCAGTATGCGAAATCCATGAAATTTCTTACGATTTTGGTGCAGTTACTGATGGTTGCCATTTGAACGGAGAGCGGACATGATATCTTCACCCTAGCGCAAGCTTGTTCTGTTCGTGTGACATTGAATGTTACAGTCGCGCCAAGGAGCGATTGACCGTCGTCCTTCACGCACCGCGCAAAAGTATTGGAGCAAGCGTACTCGCGGACTGCGTCTTCGCAGGCTTTCGTTACCTCCTTGAAGTTTTTTAGCGACATCATCATAAGTTCGACTGATTTCAGGCTAAGCTTTGACATGGTGTCGGAATAACCCGATCCAAAGACTTTGTAGTTGATAAGATTTGACGGGCATTGCTTATTGTTCGGCAAATCGTAGCAACCTTTTGTTGGGAGGGAGCCGTTCAGCAAGAGATAGCCTTTGTCAGGGTTTGAGCTGCTGACAATGTACAAGAAAGTTGAAAACACAACCAATTTCGTGAAAGCCATGATTTTATCAGTTTATACTTTTGACACCTTCCCTTTCAAAGATGCGCCCGTAATGGTAAAGAGGTTTAGTTCGAACTCATATTATGCAACTTTCGTGCATGGTACAAGCGCGACCAAAGTTCCCTCACGTAATGATCATTGGTTATCTGCTTGGGGACAAAGTTGAAATGTTTTGACTAGTTTGCATTTGTCATTAAACGCATTATTAACGCCGCATGTACGCGCGGGGCTGATTTGTTATGAATTTGAAAATTTTCTTGAATGGGCTTGTACTTATAGAAGTTAAATGAAACTATAATAATTTCAACGACTCAGTGTAATTTTATAGAGTTCAAATTTCGTTCGCAAGCTATTTTATATCTTTTGCAAAGGACACACACCCTTCCATCCAAAAAATTTCGGTCTAGTTTGTACGTCGCATTTTGATCGCGTCGAATGCAATAAAATTGAAACAATAGATTATATTACGATGACAAACTTCATTATCTCCTTACATAATAGTCTTTTCCAAAACAATTTTAACAAAATAAATAAGTCATCAAAAAAAAGAATTCTTCAGGACGTTGCACCACCGTCCCCCGATGAGTTATGCGTACAACTTAATTGGGCACTAAATTGCTCAATAGATTTCACAGATTATCGCCCGTATTTAAGTATGATTAAAATCATGCACACCTATAGTCCATGACTGGGACACGGAACTCATTTTATTATTGATCAATGCGAAAATCCTTTTAATCAACGGAACGACTTAAGGTAAAACACTGAAAATCAAGGTCTTATTTATTGTTGTCCTCCCATAAGTTATTATAAGTGCATGGTGTGGGCACAGCCTGTAGTTAGGATGTAGAGTCCTGGATAGACAGTAATGTCCTTTTGGACAAACGAATGGCACGAAGTCTGTCACGTTCCGATTGTTACGACATCATTCAATGAGGTCGACTTTGAGTGTAAATTTTTTGACGACGGGATCATGTATAAAAAATAACAAAAGGTAGTGTTTGTAGATATCATTAGCAGATCAAAGAAACATTTCCCGCGATGTTTTGTCCTAGCACGATCCTATCGCCCGTGGAGCCATTCATAACATATACCTAGAAATAGCCATAACAAGCATATATCCGTTTTTATATTTATGAAAACGGAATCAAAACAACATTCTTAAACACAAGTATGGCGTTACAGTGATAAAAACAATGACGAATAAGGTCATGGTGGAAGAAAAGAGTAGCAGCAACCTGGTATCTAAGATTAATACTTTTCCCTGTACTGGGACTGCGCCTTGCAGGGAAAGATAACGGAATCGGGGTTTTGCATGGCTAAATTCTAAAGTTCAAGAGTCCACTAGTGAAAGATTTTTTTCTTTTACATTGAAAAGTGACAAATATCTATTCTTTCAATATTACAGTAATTGACTTTGAGTCAAAAGAGATGTATAAATGTGCAGTAATCATACTTACGAGCATCAGACACATGCACCCAAAACACAAAATGGCGGAATTTTTTATAAATGGGATAACTAAACAAATTCTATCGTTACGGCAGTGGAATTGGTTTTATTTCAGATTGACCTAGAACAATTAAAATTTGTGCAATAATAACAGTTTCGTGCAACGCAGTAAAATTCAATATATCTGGCGAAGTTTAAACGCATTGAAGTTGTTAGGAAAAATATGGCCCACATAGGAGCTTGCATGGGTAGAAGTAATGAAATGCTGATTTGTAAAGACAGAATAAAGGTATTGAGCATGCGAATATTTCTTGAAAATATCTCGCTTTGGAGTGGTTCTTAACGATAAGATATTTACTAGGTTCTGATGTAATATGCAGTGGTCAATTGATCGTAATAGATTTTGGAGATACGATTTGGTTTTCAGGGACTCCGGAGCAGGGGGCAGTTGACCCCTTGCCTTTTACGGGATTACATTCATGTATATAGCTTTAGAAGTGCAACCAACAAACATCAAAAACTCAAAGACACTGATATCATCTTAAAAAGAGAAAATAGGAAGAAAAAAGTTCAAACGTTTTGCAATCATTCTCTAGTATGCGTGGTTATACAGAAGTGCCTTTTCACGAAATCCCCTAGGCCTTGCATTATTCCGGCGTTGCCAAGGTGGTTTTATGTACCGTGATAACATGTATATTATTCTCAGTATAGGCCGTAGGATGAGCATCCAAAAGATGCTTAGAAAACGGATTCCGTTGCACCCCTCGTGAAACTACATAATTTTCACATGAATCAATAGATAAAAACTTACTTTATCAGAATCCGTCGCTCCCCAAGCGAAACAGGTGCACAATTGGGAAAACAATCCCTCCAAAGTTTGCTATATTCGCGCTTCGAAATATTCAAATCGCCATTGTTGTAGTAGCAAATGCGCATGCGCTTGTCAGCCAAACTCGCACTGCGCACGCGCATAAGCACGCACATGCTTCGAGTTATGCAAAATAATCATGGCTGAAGATATTTATAACACTCGAATATCCTCATGTTTTATTCATTTTGATGGCGTTACGGAGCAACTTTGCAAAGTTACACGCCAAAGGCTTAAGAAATTTCTTGAGTGTAGGTCCAAATGGGCCAAACTTAAATGTCAACAAGCTGAAATAGCTAAGAAATCTTACGAAAACATCGATGACGGATCTGTCAATTCATACATGGAGAAGAACCCTGACAGCATTAACTTAGAATGGTACCATCATATGAAATGCTGGAAGAGATTTTGTGATGAAGAGAAGATCCGTAGACAAAAGCGAAAGGAAGAAAAAGGAGAAGGCACTAGCTCTGAAACTGTAACTCCTACCGAAGGACTACATGTGAAAGTGGAACCAATGGAACCAAGGCGAAAAATTACACGACAATCAGTCGCAGACGTTAATAAGACCCTGCCTAAAAGAAACGAGCATGTACTTCCAGAGATATGTATTGTTTGTGGAAGAGATTCCTCTTGGTTCTCACTAGACAAGGTATGGTCATTTTGATAGATATAATTATATTAGTGCAATGTGCACTAGTAGCTAGTGCAATGTGCACTAGTAGCACAGCATTCTCGAGTTTGGTTTTAAAATATCTTGAATTGTGGTCAATTAAGTTTATTTAGGCTTAGGGTAAAGTAGTTTCTAATGCTGCAAACATCCAACTGTGTTATTAGCAGATATTTAGTTTAATAGTTTTGTTCACACCAGGTGACTAAGAAGAGAAGAAGAACCCCACTCATGTTGGCAGAAACAATTGATGCTGGTCTTCTACATACAGCTGCCGAGAGAAAGAATGATGAACGGATACTCATGCAAATCCAGGGGAAAGATCTTCCTTGGCCACCATTGGCATCTGATTTGACAATGGATAATGTGCAAAAAGTGGTTCCATGTGAACTTTTTAATGTATTGGCTTGGACTTGTGGATTCTCTTCAGAGCCAACTTTAAGTGAGTACGTGCCAATTGAGGGCAAGAACAGTTCCAAACTAACATCAATTGTACAAGACCTTGTGAATTTAGCATCTGGGGGAAGGAATCCTACACCTAAGAGCATAGCACTTGCCATGGCACTTAGACAACTGACAGGTTCAGCCTCAGTAATTTCTCTATTGAGTGGCTTTGGACATTGCATGTCACACTCATTTGTATTGTGCCATGAAACTGCCCTTGCACAGATGAATATATCCAATGATTCTGCTATTCCTCCAGGCTTTGTTAGTGATGTTCCAACTACTCTTGCATGGGATAATGATGATTTCTCAGAAGAAACTAGATCTGGCAAAGGGACAACTCACATCACTGGGGGCATTATCATTCAAAGGGAACAAAGTGCAAGTACTGAGTTATAGAGACGGGATAGCATTCCAAGGTCAAGATCCCTCCCAGCACCATCAAAGGAGATAAATCCTTATTTTCTTGGAAAAAGAAAAACTGTTAATTTAAATGATGCCATGCAAAATAAGGAAATTGAGGAAGAACATCATATATTACCTCAGATTGATGCTAAGAAGAAAGACCTTGCATTCTGTCTATGTAGATATGTTGGTAGGAGCAGTGCAATAGGAAATATTTTTGCTTTTCGAGAAGCAAATTTTGTTTCTGCATTAAAAGCCAATGTTTCCAGATGTGGGAGACAGGGAAACATTGGAGCAAACATTGAAAATCACGAATATTTTCGCGACAATGTTTCTTGCTGCGTTTGGCCAAGGCTATATTTAAGCGAAATATTTAACTTGTTTCTTGATTGTGTGAGTTGTATGTATTTTATATATTCTCCGTCCTGTTTGATACAGGTGGGTTTTTTACCTCACAAATTTTTATTGAATTAAGATGTTAATAAGTAGAATTATACGTTAAAACGGTATTTTGAAACAATAGCCAATAAATTGAAGTGATTTAGCATATGAGCAAGCAAAATGTACAATGTGTTTTAACAATATTTATTGTGTGTGTATTTATTCGTTAATATTACAAGGTTTGATCTTTATTCCGTGATTCTATTTTGTTATTTTTACACGGGAAATCGGGGAAAACCCACAGGGAAAATCCATTTTTCCTGTCTGCGCGTGCGCAGTGCGAGTTTGGCTGACAAGCGCATGCGTAT